GCGATAAAATCTGTAAAAGTAGTTTTAATCAATCCATCAATCATGATTGATAAAAAACGGATAGTGATTGATAGACATACATCACGCGCTCACACAGGCGTCGATCACTGCATTACACGGTAGGTTATTCGTCAATCACTACCGTGATTGTTGTAAAACTGACAGCCTGCATGAGCGTGTAATTTACGCCTATAGGTATACCTAAATAAATGCGTATTTGACATTAGTCCATTAAATTCTTAAACACTTTTTAAGTTGTCAAAACATTTGAAATCATAGTGCAATAGCGTCATAGTTTTATACGATTTCATCATACATAATATAAATGTTACGTTCAGGGTATACGAGAGAAAAATGATCGAATGTGTCATTTTACGAATTAGCACTATGATTCACAGCATTGGCGTTTAGCACGATTCTCAACCTCTCAACCTGACTAACTCGCTTTGTAAGGACTTCTCAGTCATTAAAATAATTATAGAAACTCGCTAGTTTAAACCTTAAAATGAGCGCAAAAAAAGCTCGTTTTCTGCTACCACAAAAAATTCATACAAAACACCGGAAAATTACATTTTCTAAGAAAAAGCAAGTAATTAATTTATACATCAAAGGAAAGTAGTGCCGCTGGCTATACGTAATCATATGATTACGTATAGCCAGCGGTAAGTACCTACTTTACTTCTGATTTTTAATTTTTTAATAACTGTCTTTTTTTGTAGTTTAAGGGTGACAAACGAGCGCAAAGTCCATCTGATAATAAATGGTTGCTGTGGTCCATAGACATCTACATTTATCCTCGGTTAAGAATCCAAATGCATTGTCACCCCGTGAGGACTAAGATGGAACGCCAGTAGTTTCCAGTTAAAAGGTCCTCCGGTTCTCTTCACTCATCATACAAAACATAGCAGTATTAACCTGCAATTTCACGCTGGTATTATGTAAGAGCCATGCTGCAGTTATATTAGCAGTAGGTATAGTCGTAGCACGAATGGGTCGGCTCGACCGGGGAAGGACCACGCTCTCACTGAATACCAGCGTGAAATAGTAGCTTAATGCTGCTGTGTTTTATATGGTGAGTGTAGAGAACCGGAGACCTTTTTTGCTGGAAACCAGGCATTCCATCTTAGTCCTCACGGGTGACAACGCATCTGCATTTTGAATCGGATACGAGGATAGATGTAAATGTCTATGGGCCACAGCACCCACGTACCATCAGGTGGACTGTGTGCTCGTTTGTCACCCTATCCTATAAAAAAAAGACCGTGGCCCTTCCACGGTCGTGGCGATCCATTCGAGTTACAAACATTCGAGTTACAAGCTACAGCGTGGCTCTACCACGTATAATATATTGCTCTAATGATTGTACAAAATTAATATTTGAAGGATGTGCTCTTGCGATTTTAAGACTGCAGGAATATTCGTTTCAATGGTTAGCGTTTATAGATAACAATTTATACCCATTATATATATGGTAATTTTGTATATTTCCACATTAAACCTAAACCTAATACGTACTAAATTAAAAAAAGACAATTTATATAAGACTAGATAATTATCTAACATTCCTAAGTTAAACCCAATTTGACTGGACTATACTGTTTCTCCTCCAACGACAAATAAAAATTGGCAGGCGCAGTATATAACGCATGTCACATAGCTTTTTATCTAAATATTTTGCGTATGACATGGAAGATGATTATAGCGTCATCTATCGACGGCTAAAAGATTTTCGATCATTGCCTTGTCGACGTCTATAACACCCACGCCACGGGATGAGCCAGAGAGCAAATAGATTGTCTCCGATAGCGCGCAATATTATATTTCACCGTAATATTTCAGATGTCTCGAGAGTTAGGTATTTTGTTATTCACATAATGTTATTCTGGTACAGACTTATAAAGACTGATTGTCCCAATTTATTATATAACAACAGTATACACTTTGTTTTATAGCGGAAAAAATAAGTTCTACATTTTAACTCGTTTAAATTTTAAATAGGTAGCGACTGAAAACAAACGTTGTGAAGCCTGTAAACACAGCGAACGTAGAACATGTGCTTTTTCCACATACTACTGTTTTATAAAAATTTTACTTTTAAGTTTATATTTTCCCTATAGTCTGTTACTTTTGCTTTTAAAAGGATGAATAGAATAGAGTAACTTTCATTTGATAAAGATTAAAATTACTACATCTTATTCTCTTAAATAGATTTTTTTGTTATAGCACAGGGTTTCAAACGAGCACACAGTCCACCTGATGGTAAGCGGTTGCTGTGACCTATAGACATCTACATCTATCCTCAAATACGAATCAAAACGCAGATGCGTTGTCACCCGTGAGAACTAAGATGGAATGCCTCGTTTCCAAAAAGGGTCTCCAGTTCTCTACACTAACCATACGAAACACAACAGCGTTAAGCTGCTATTTTACGCTGGTATTCTGTAAGAGCGTGGTCCTTCCCCGGTCGAACCGACCCATTCGTGCTACAACTATATTAATGATATAGCTGCAGCATGGCGCTACCATGTACCGATCTTTTAAAGATAGAGATCTTTTAAATAGTCACCAAATGGGCAATTCTCAATTCGTAGTTTATATAGTGAAGGTAGACTTAATTATTGACCTTTCTTTCATAAATTTGTCCACATTATATCAATAGTCAATATTAAAATCTGTATAACAAATTCCAATAAATGTATTTAAGGTAACGGTTTACAGTGTAAATTTTGTTAAAAGCTAGTAATACTTTCTCTCATAGTTTATATGAATTTGATAATTATACCTTTCTAACCGTTTTCGTCCATGGTAACACTATCAGGTAAAGGTCAACAATTGCCGTCTCCATTTGATACAGGCAAATTTTTCAAGTAGTTAAGGCGCTAATACAAGATTAAAAAAACAAAAAAGCCTGATAAAGTGAACACTATTTATGGAATTAACACATATAAACAATATCTGTATCCGACGATCTTTGGATCCGTCTAAGCGATACATAGTGGAAGTTCCAAAGCAGTGACAAAAGATCGATTTTCGTGAAAGAGCCATGCTGCAGTTATATTAATATTATAGTTGTAGCACGAATGGGTCGGCTCGACCGGGGAAGGACCACGCTCTCACAGAATACCAGCGTGAAATAGTGGCTTAATGCTGTTGTGTTTCGTATGGTGAGTATAGAGAACCGAAGACCCTTTTTACTGGAAACGAGGCATTCCATCTTAGTCTTCACGGGTGACATCGCATCTGCATTTTGATTTGTAATCGAGGATAGATGTAGATGTCTATGGGCCGCAGCAACCACTTACCATCAGGTGGACTGAGTGCTCGTTGGTCACCCTACCCAATAAAAAAAAGATGCACAATAATAAAATGCAATGTTTTTCAAACACAGAAACCAAGTCAATCAAGAAAACCAGAAGTTAAAAGCCTGGAACTCTATTTCTAGAGCATTTTCATCATCTCATGTACTATATATATTAAACTAGCTTGCCAGGCTATATATATTAAACTAGCTTGCCAGGCAAACGTTGCCCTTTTCGATGACCCTTTGTCATGTCCTATTAAAAATACTTAAATTCGCAAAAAAAAATTGTGGGTCACTCATGGGCAAAAAAACTATCCTATCTCTCAAGCTGGACCAAACTGCACACGGTGTGCAAATTTGATTAAAATCAGTTAAGCAGTTTAGGAGTCCATCGCGGACAAAGACGTGACACGTAATTTATATATATTAAGATTTAATAAAAACGCGGTTCATTCAAAAATATTATTTGTTGGAGAAATTTGATCACAACCCAATTTGATAATGGAAGTGACTGTAAGTTTATTAGAATAAAGGTATTTTTATTAGAATAAAGGTATTTAGAAGCAATTCGCATAATGAAAGCTTTATCTTCTGTATTCATTTTAAATAAAAAACGTTTCTAACCATTCACTAAAGGTCCAGAGCATTCGACTGCAGTGACCGGAAACTTTTACATTTAAACAATGTGCGTTGGACACGCGTTTAGAAACAAACAGAAACAGTGGGCAGCGTGTAATCCAATAATAGAAAAATTAAATAAACGAAGCCATACACATTCCGTCTTTGACACCGAGATAATTTATTTACAATAGAACTAGGATACGTTAACCGTGGTAACGCATGGAAAATTCAAGCTCTTTCTAAATATTATTTTGCTTTGACATTATGTTCTAAACAGACTGCCCAAGATGGCAAGTAAAATGATGCGTCATATGTTTCTATTCAAGTAAACGAAGAGAAATCAGTACAGCACAAATATAGCGAATGACTTAAAAGTGAAAGGTGTATTCGTATCTCCATGATTGCCTATAGGCAAAAATAAAATGTTTTAAATTTTATACCCTGACAGAAATTTGTTTTTATGACTTGATAACGGGAATTTGTATTTTTTTTAATGTAACGCGTAATGTTGCAAAGGGCAACAATAAGAACATTGTCAAATGTAACTAACAACGAATAAGCTAAACATAAAACGAAATGTTAAAGATATATGTACAATAATAATGAAAAAAAAAACATTCGACTCAAATATTCCGTCCTTTGCGAATATTGCGCATTGGGTCGCGCTGATTTCACGCTTTTGGACACATAATCACCTCAAACTGTTCCAGTCTCGGAATTCGATATTATTGGATATGACAGGGCTTTTTGTGATGAAGGCACTAATATGTAGGATAGGAAGTTTTGGGTGAATGTGCAAACGCGGTCGGGGGGCGAAAGCTGTGCTCGAGTAACGAAGCGGGCGGCGCGGCGCCTGGCGCGAGACTGCCGCCCGCCCTGACGTGCCGCCCGCCCGCCGCCCGACCGTGCACGCCTTTACCCTCCGAACGCCAACAAAACACAGATTGCGAGACATGAGTTTATTAGCCGTCACGCTACTACCGACAACTATATACCAAATAATACTTAGCGTTCAAACTATTTGCCACGATAGCACACCAAAGCATTCAGTCTTCTACACGACGCTCTCGATTTACACCTGAGTTATCTGAAGGCGCAGCTGTGGCATGCGGCGCGCCGCGCGGTGCTGTGGTCGCACGCAGCATCCTCCGAGCGCTCGTAAACGACGGGTACACTCATTCTTCGATGGCATTTTACACCATCTCTTCCGTGAACTTGCACCGAATGTGGTCATCATCCTATCTCCCGGCTTCGACGTATCAAACACGATCTTAGGGCTATCCACACCCCCTGATCCTGGTGTAATGCGGCACTTTGCTCCCGTTATTGCTTTCTTAATTCCGTTTAACGCTTTTTGAGCTGCATTTATCTCTTCCTTTACTTCTAGCCCTTCATCACGAGGCACGATCTTCAATCGTCCGGGCGGAGAATCTTCAACTGGCTCGATATGACGTCGTTTTATAAGGAGTCTTAGTCTGTCTAATATAGTTGGGGGTGGGTCAGTGTTCGTTCCGATGGTACAGAGACCTGGTCTGTAGTCGCGGTCGAGGTCGACTGTCGTTGAAACATACGGCTGTTCGTGTAACGAAGTAGCACGTCGTAGTTCCGGTTCGTCTTGTAAGTAGGCGATGTGCAGGGTACTGATACTCATCGGTTGGTGAGGCGGTGGCCAGAGTTCCCTGGTGGGTGGCACAGGCGCGGGCCTTTCGCCCAGCATGCGTCGCGCCAGTTCGCCCGGCTGCCACAGGCAGCTGGTCGACAGGTTTTCGTGTGTATGCATCACGAGCCAACTGATCACTGACGGCACGCGAACTCGTTTGCTAATCCAATACTAGGCCATTGTGCACTTGACAGTATTCCCAAGAGGTAATAAAACGTACCTTTATAAGGAATTTCATAATTGGATAAACGATTGTGTTAGCAAACGTTCAACATTCTGCACAAGGTTTGTTTATTGTACACTTTTATAACGTTAAAAATAATATTGCGTGTAACTTGGTATAACATACACGTGGAAACAAATGGTCACGGTGATGTTCATAAAAAGCTAATTCTTTCAGATGAAATTCAGTATTATGTAATAAAATTGGCTTTTTTAAACACGACATATGATATAATATGAATTCACTAAAACAATATTAAGCAATTTTAAAGACAAAAATTTCATCACCAGCGGGCTTCATTTACTGTTATCTGCATAGAAGGTGCATAAATAGAAATGAAGAGAATGAAAGTGCTTAGTATCAAAAACGAACAAGTTTGACTACAAATACTAGAAAAGAATAATGCTAAATTGCGCTTTTTATGTTTGTAATGATGGCCACACACGGCCAGTTCAACTGATCATTTCAACTGATCAGTTCAAAATAAAACTGTTGATATTTTTTAAAATTTCGGATTTTCGATATATCCTTAAATAAACTTATATGTAAAACTCCGATAGTAATATATTTATAATGATCGATATATCAGCTCGTCACTCCTTTTTCGTCTATATGGCTGCCCCATTGTTACTATAGCTTACTTATCCGTTGGTCTATGTCGATTTTATTTTCGATCTGAGATGTGGACGAATTTAAGCTCTCTTAAACGACCAGCATTGAAGTACTACGGTTCAGATCCAAATGTCATCACTGACAACACGCTCAGATTGCTTTATTTTCAAGTTTTTAGTTATAACGAGAACATGTGCCGTAATTTTCCGAACGCTGTCCAGCCGAGTTGTATCCGTCGATTGACATTAGGTTGGACTTCTTATCTAGTTGGCAATTTAGACACACGGTAGCGTGTCAAGCCAAGTTCAAGCAGAACGGCGAGCCGCACCGTGTGTAATATTACACAAACCATTTGGAGCCACTTTTGACGCCCTCATAACTCATAAACTATTTCACATAAACGTGTCAAATTTGGCACATATATTGAGACTTGCAATATACATATATGCTTCAAATTTCATAAACACATCTGAAACGGTTATTTAGATATAAACGTTCAAAAATCGTCATTTTTATCACCGACTGACCTATAGATCAAAACTCTAACCCAGTTCCAGATAACCTAGAAAGTTCAAATTTGGTATGCAGATAGGTAATTAGGTGAATACAAAGGAATAAATCAGAAACTGGTAAATTTTTATAGTTTTATTATAATTTTTCACTTATTTGATATTAGGAACACTAAACTTTATTAACAATTATACTTATAAATGTATGTTTGTAAGAATCAGCGATCAGCAATCAAAACTTATGACAGCCGATCTTAAATATATAACGAGTTGAATACCGCCCTTAATTTTTTTATCCAAATATTTCCGTTTTAGTGCTTATAACTAAACTAAGAGTATAGTCGATTTTCGTATTTATTCCGTTATTAACTGGGATTTAGTATTAATTATTGTTTCAATATTTAGCGCATATCAAGAGTGTAAGATCGTTACTTTTAAATAATTAAATAATAGGCATTGAGATATACTGATGATAATATATAGGCACACGGTGCGCGGTGCGACCGTGCGACTAGGGTTACCAGGCCTAAAAATGCAAAATCCGGTCTGACATGTCTAAAAATCCTGATTTTGAAAAAAAGTCCGGTCACGCACCTGCATTAAATAAAAATCATAGTATTTAAGTACGTTTTTATTTACTTATATTATTTAGACCCATATTTTTTTCCAGCTATTTCGCAATAAAATTGTTTACACATCACTTAGAGCATACATTACATGGAGGGAGCACTGTGTGAGCAGAAAGCGTGATCGGCGTAGAGAGAGAGAGAGACTGAGTTTAGGTAGAGTCTGTCTCTCTCGCACAGTCACTGTCATTGGCTGTTTCATTGGGCATGCACTCGCGCGATGCAACGGTGGAAAACACGCCAGCCAATCAGAAGCATGTGCGAGAGAGACAGACTCTACCTAAACCTTAGAGCACCGATCACGCTTTTTTGCTCACACAGTGCTCCCTCCATGTAATGTATGCTCTAAGACACATCACGTGTTTATAGTTATATTGCGTAAGCAATATGGCTCTCACTGACTCCACTGAAAGTCTGTTTCTCTCTTTGGTCCACTGAGAAGTCATGAGAGAAAAGACTCTCTCCACGTTTGCGTTGTGTGGCAAAATACTAAAGAAATATTGCCAAATCTTAAGAAATTCTTCCGAAAAATTATTAAAGATTTTCATCAATAACGATTCAATGTCAATGTCTAACAAATCGGTTGTATGGCGTATTGCATTATGTAAAATATGAGCAGGACATCCGACACCTACTATCTCTTGCTTTAGGTTCTGGTTCAAATGGGTGATAACGTTATTTCCATCATTTCGTGTAACACCTCCAAAGTTGACATTAGCATTATCACCCGTAAAAGAAACACATTTACCTTTTAAATTGTATTTTTCGAGAGTTGCAAGCAAGTAATTTGCAATAGTCAGCAAAGTCTAATTTTCCAGGGATGTAAACTCAAGCATTTTGCTTTCCATGCCAGTCTTCCAATCAAAGTATTGAATGATTATCGGAAATATTTTATCAGCGTTGTGGTTACTGGCATCGGTTGACAATCCAAAAAACACAATGTCTTCTAGTTTTTCAAGAAAAATTGCGATAGTATACGGCGCAATGACATTATTTATAATAGCCTCTGTTTTGGTCCTTGCGCAGCTTAGATTTTTTGCCAAATCAGAATCATGAAATAGATTTTTTAGTAACTGCGAAGTACAGTCCATACTTTTGTAAGATTGGTGGTGTTTAACTACATGAAAAGCAAGCGTGGCATCAACAGCACTACTTTTGTTACCTTTTTGGGTAATGAAAGTATCAATCTTACTTGTACTGGCGCACAATCGATTCTTCTTTAAGTGCTTTTCTGTTTTTAAATGTTTTTCTATGTCAGCTCCACCTTTGTATCCAATCGACACAAAACAATCACAAATAGTACACTTCACTTCTTGGTCATTTCTACCCTCAGTAAAAGAAGGATATTTAGATTTTAACACATCCGTGAATATATAACGTTTTTTGTTTGCGGACGCCATTATTACGATGCGTGCGTACGAGAAATAAACACAAGTATGTAGCTTTTTTTACATTAATTTGCGGTCCGTCTGTGCGATGCAATCATGCAAGGGAGCGTAGCGGGCGGGGTGCCACGCCGCACGCGCCCGCGCCGCGCCCGCACAGCGCGGTGTGCTTGCGTTCCGGGACTTCCGGGCTCAGTGCATGAGGCACCCGTCGCTTGAGCGGGCGGGAGGACATGCAAGTATGACAAAAATCCGGTCTGACGTAAAATCCGGGCGGAGTCCGGTTTAACACGTAAAAATCCGGCTTTATCCGGTCAGATGGTAACCCTACGTGCGACGCCTAAGGAGCGGGGAGGGGGAGCTCATAAGCGCGAGCGCCGTCTGGCTGTCAAGTCAGACCTTAAGTTACTATATATTATCCTAAGTTATAAGAAGAAATAATATTTTATGTTTTTATAAATAAATTTCATGACTGACCATTGAATTTGGCACCCATTTAGATCTCACTTCTTTTGTCGTTAAAGTCAACAACCAAGGCATATATCATAATATTGAACTTGGCTCTCATTTCACATTTATGTTTTTGATGGGATTTGTTCTACGTAAATATACTCGTCAAATACTTCGTATATACGTAGTGATTCCAGCAACTACCGGCTTAGATGTAATATGGACGTTGCGGCATAAATTGATATAAAATTAGCATAAACATATGATGCTAAAGCTTCCACAAAACTTAAGGTTTAGCTAGCTAGCCAAGCTTATCCTACACAACCTTGTATAGCCTGGTTACGTCTACTACGGCACTACGACAAATAACTTCTACTTTATATATACAGTGTGCCTTGCTGTGGCGTTATTAATATTTACGTTATTATATATTATATAATATACTAGACCATAAAATTTCACATAAATATACAAATGTTGGAACACGCACTGAAACACTTGTTCAATAAATATCCTTATTCCCAATTTTTTTGAATGTAAAAGCACTTACAATAATTTTTTTGAAAATAAATAGAAAGGTCTACATTATTACATACCTTTAAAGGCCGAGTTATAGTGACTGTCTCTATCATAGTAGTTGAGGCCATTGTGTTAGACATTCCCTTTCCTGAAAATAAATTAATATTAATAGTACAGTTAAAAAGGTATTTTTTAATCATTAAACCATTTAAGTATCACCAAAGTAACTTATTCAAAAAAAAATCCCTACAAGCTCAAAACATAGTGTAAACTGAAGCTCCCTTAGGCCTCCCTTTTTACTTTCTACACTTTTTTTATAAATTAGTTAATAGGAACATAAATGAAGGCTGACACTTCTGAAATGTACAGGAACTAGCACCAGACTAAAAAAGCTTGAAATTTGCAAATGCGAGATTATGATCTAACTAGGTATTATTATTGTTTCTTCTAAATACATTAATCACATACAGAATAGAAAAAAAAATCCTTTGTTTTTTTATATTCATCTCAATAAAATACTTAATAAACAAACAACAGCTCGAAGTTGAAGGGTGCTACAGTCAGAAAAGCAAAGTTCTAAGTGGATTTTAAAGTTTCTGAGAGAAAGTGAAAGTCCAAAGTTTCTCCATAACATTTAACAACAACATTTCCCATGTTAATCTGTGACTTCTAAATCCCACTTTTATATGGGACTTATAACAAAAAAGAATTTGCCAACTATATCACTTGCCTA